GTTGCTGGGGTAACCAACAACGGATGCTTGAAATCGCCGACGAGCTTAAGAGTTAAACCATTGGAAATATGACAATGAAGAGCGCACATAAATTAAGAGCATTTTTTCATAATTAGGAAAAATGGAATTCGAACACGTTCTTACGAAGAATAAGAGAAGTCTTGTAAAAAAAGAGAAGTAAATTATATAGCAAATATGCACGATTGAGATAAATAGAGATTGCGCCAATCGCGGTACTGCTAATCCGCTCTTTGTGATTTTGACAGAATAAGCTGTGTGCGTGACGTCATCTTGGTGCAATTGTTGATTGTGAGCATACGAAAAAAAACAAATAACAATTTTAATATTTGTGCGTTAATATTTCTGCGTGGTTTTAAACAATTATTGAGACATTAAAAACCAAAATGAAGTGTGCATTGGCAAAGTGTAATAGTGAAAACAAAAGGAAAGTGTGCTATATAAGTTTTTTTTCGTTTCCTACGGACGCAAACCTGGCAAAAAAGTGGAAGCAGTTCTGGCGGGGAGGACATGCATTAAACACCAAATCGAGCTTTGTGCTATGTGTGTGAGCTATGAGCTTCTACATGGAACTATGTTGGCCTTTCCTTGGTGAATTGTAGTATGTATGTATATTTCCATGGTGAATGTAGACAGTTGCTGGTTTAGTTTGCTAGCAATGGCATACATACAAAAGCAGTTTCTACAGTAAATAGATACATGAACTTCACTACCTACTTATTTTTGTTAGTACCTGATTCGTTTAGTGCTGGTATGAGGTAATGCACCAGTGGATAAGGCCGCCAGGCGCTAATTCAAGCGGCAGCTTACCGCGGTGTTACGGACCTAATACAAAACAGTGCCCAAATTATTATACATTTAAAAGTTCAGCTTAAATTATGTTTTACTGACATGGAATATTTGCTTCCAAAGACGCCACACTCATGCATCCTCTCGGAAATGGTACAAAAGTCATCAAATAAAAGCTGTGGAGTTTATGGTGGTTGGCTACCGTCCACAAATATAAATATGCACTCTGCATGACTTTTTACAATGGCGAGTCCAAAAATTCACTTTGCTGCACACCTTCATTTTGGTCTACATGAAATTGCAAACACTGTTAATACATCAATTTTTTCATGTGCTAAAAATCGTACTAAAGGGCTACATGTCCAACATTATTTTTACGTGCTCCTAGTTAATCAATCTTTGTATATTTACTGATTCCTGCAAAATTGGGCCATGTAATATTAAAATTAACACATTTTTCTGCATTGTTTACATATTTTTCTATGCGTTTTGGCATTTCCCTCTCGCAATTGCACCAAGATGACGTCACGCAAAAATTACGCTCAAAAATCCTCTCTCATTGGAGCAATCTTGTATTCTATCATTCTTGGCAAATATGTACCTACATAAATATGTATCTAAGTAACAAATACATAAAAATATAACTAATGCGATGTGAGTACTTTTACGAAAACAAATGGCAATCATATTATTTCTATAGTTCTAAAGATCTAAAAAAATTATATTTTATTGATAAATTTGTTAAAAAAACAAAAAAGGTATTAGTTACATATATTTATTTCATTTCTAAAGCTGTCCCTCCCTCTTCCTGTTAGTAATGACAAAAACAAAAAGATTTACCATTCCTGCGTAATAAATCATACACATGGAATATATTTGCATTGAAACTTGCAATTCTACATGCATATATTTTGTACGACAAAATCGGAGATGCGGCAAACAGGACATCACGGCCAAACTGTCCACTCATGGAGACTCGTGTCTGCAGCTGAATAACAGATTCGCCAGTTAGAAATATCTACATATGTGACCTGGTCTACGGAAAGGGGGCTTAGGTGTAAAAAAATCAATTTTCACTTTTTGGTTGATTCGGATGGAAGATGAGATGCTTTTTCACGTGGTGAAAAGCAGAAAATCCTAACTTGCTTAGAAGTGTACTAAAAATGTAGAGAAAGAAGAGTAAAAATACGACAGAATATAATTTATTGGTAATGAACAAAATACATTGAATTATAAGCTATAAAGACATGATTATACACTAGAAAAACGTATTATGGGCCAAAAATAACAATGCTGAGTAGTTTATGTATCTCTCTGTCCATATTTCTTCCGCCCAGCAAGCTTTGCGTATACACTTTCTAGCTTTTCGTTACTCATAATTCCAGCTTCGATGTGACTTAGTATCACTAAATCAAGTTCATTTTTGGACATCTCTAAACAATTGTTCCGCGTACTCTCGATCATTTCCCGTGGTATCAGTGTATGGCATTCATTATTACAACAATCTTTTGACAGAAATTTTCTTACCAGCTCCTCCTCCTTTACATCAACAACATACAGGTCCATCTTAACAAAAGTTTGTTCGGTATCATCTTCTGCCTGAGATACACATACTTCGTCTTCATCATCATCGCTCTCTTCATAGTTCTCATCATCGTTTTCATCATCCTTTTCATGGAAATATTGTCCGTATACGGCACTGAACTCCTCATCAACACTCATGTTTCATTTCATGCGAAATGCGAAGACGATAATCAACAGAAACAGTAAACGTCACTTCTTCAGTGTTACTTTTTTAAATGTTCCACACTAGCAACTTACACGATGAACTATAATAATATTCCGACCAACAACAATACTTACTGGACCAACAACAACACTTACTGGACGTCCGGCGCGGAGAACAATTAACGAGATAATGAGAAACTGACGAAACGAGTTGCTTACTTTTAACAGCTTTTTCACAGAAAACTAGTTTTCGCACGTAAGCTCCCTTTTCGTAGACCAGGTCACATATGCATATCTTCATATATTGGCATTTTTTACATATATTTTTATTAGGTATACATATGTACATATATTAGGGCGGGTAATTTTTTCTCACTATTCGCGTTTAGAATAGGAGGATCCTACGTGT